TTTTTTTTTTTTTAATGATAAGTTGTATAATAAAAAAAGAAAGAAGAGTAATATTTATTGATAGTATGAGAAACGTACACAGCAATATCTGCCTACCTGGCATCACCAGCTTTTATGGGCCCATACATATCAGGTTGTATTGGTTTATACTGATCCTTATGCGGAAATTTCACTTTCCCATTGTACATCAACAATGAACGTTTTTGCCTAAGATAATAGAAGAGGAGGAATGCAAATGCAATGGTGCTAAAACCGGCGATACAGGATAGAACAATTAGACTAATCTGGAACAGTCGCTCCTTGGAAGCACCAAATTTTTGTGCAAATTCATCCGATAAATCTGGTGTATACTGCAAAAAAAATAAAACCAACAATTGTTTATGTCTTTACTTTGATGTTTTGTTTTTTTTACAGACTATAAATATTATCATTATTACCAAATAAGTATCAATAAGCAAAAAAAATAATGATTTTATCAACTAAACTAAAGTATTTTTTATAGAAGAAGAAAAAAAAAAAAGAAGAAAAGTGAAGAACTTTTTTCCAAAGTTAATCTTTTACCACATAAAAGTGGTAAAGAGACGAAAAAAAAAAGAAGGAAATTCAAAAGTTTTAAAAGGAATTACTTTTCTCTTTTTTTTTTTTTCTTTTGCTTAATAAACAAAAGAAATTTAGAAAGAAGAAAAAGAAAAAAAGTGGAATTGCTGACTATTTCAGTTAAATAAAAGCAATAAAATTTTTGAACCGGAAAAACTGCTGAAAGAATCACTGCAGTGCTCCAATCACCGTTACACATAACCCCTTTCATTTCCACCTCTCTTCCTCCTCCTCCTCCTCCTTCTCTTCCTCCTCCACCGTTTCCTAATCATCTTTCATCTGTCTTCTTCATCTCTTTCTCATACATTTCAAATGTTTAAATTTGAACTGTCCTCTTAGTTTGTGAAACTGTTTTTTTCTGTCTGTTTAGAATGTGAAAAAAAAAAAAGAAGCTAATAGCTAAGGCATATATGTGAATAAACACTGAAAAATAAGAAAGTGCGAAGGGGATGTTAAACAAAAAAAAAAAAGAAGAAGAAAAGGTGTGAAAATATATTTGTTATAATAACAGTAACTTTTTTTTTGTGAAAAACGTGTTTTTAATAATAAATTCTAATTTTCTTAATGGACATTTTTTGATGTTATTTGGCAGAATATGAAAATCAAAAATTAAAAAGAAAAAAAAAAAAACAACTAAAAAAAGAGATTTGGAAAACAAAGTTGTACAACTGTTTCAGAAACTTTGTAGAAAATTTTTAGAAAATTCAATCACTGCAAACAGTAAACCATTTTTTGCAGAAAAAAAAAAAAAAAAAGGTTTAGAACAAATAAACTGATTAAAACATCGATCTTTCTTTTGGTTCTTTCTTCTTCGTTTTATTTGTTGAACTTTAGTTTAGTAAAACCAAATAAAATTTGATGTTCTAAAATTAGTTTGTTCTTCATTTTTTGACAGTAACAGAGCAAAAAGACAAGTTAACCCACCTTATTAATTATTGAAATAAAAATTTTTTAAAAAGTTGTATTCATCCGAAGAAAAAAAGAACAGTTCTTTCTTCTATCTTAAATCTAAGTGTAGAGAAAAGAGGAACAATACAAATGTAAAAATAGCTTACAACATGCTCAATTAAGGCTGCATTGTTGAAGTCGGGACACCACGGACAACGTTCCATATGCTTCTGTACCTCAACTGTACTGTTGAAGCATTTACCTTTCAACTTTACAAACGCCTTACCACTGTTCAAATTTTCGGTCTCAAATGAGTGCTTCTCAGAACCCATTTTCTGTAACAAAAAAAAAACGGTGATAACAAATCTTCGCTTTTGCAGTTTCAATTTGGTCTGTCTAAATTTAGTGTTAAAACTTGGGCAATTTTAATTTCAACTACCAACTAAATTTTCACGTTTTTTTTTAATTATAACTGAAGCTAAGATTAACAGCAGAAAAAAAAAAGCATTAATCAAAGTACTTACATTTTGCGGATAGGATGACGGCGGAGAAGTATCATAGATTCGAACACTGGACGAAGCATCGCAGGTTCGCGGAAAGCTGTACAACGGATCAATGCCAGCAACTTCACAGTCTAATAGCACCTTTTCTGGGTCGCCACCTTTCCAGTGGCTAATAAATGGTCGAGAATCCTTCTAAAATAGTTTAGAAAACAAGGAAAATATGTAAGAAGAATAAATAGATAAATTAAATTAAATAAAACAGTTAGCGATATCTGTATCATTGAATAGCTTAACGAAAATGATGGAACATAAAATTAAAAGCTATAAAAAA